TGCCCTCCCTCTTCCTTGCAGATTGAATACTAATACACTGTAACTTCTCACCAACCTCCTTTCCTTTTAGGGTAGTGGTGATCTAGGATGCAACAGAGTTTATCACAAACGCACAGAAAGAATCAATGCCCCCTAGGCAGCCCTGGACGGGTGGGGAAGGGAGTGGGCTGTATTTCCAGCACAGTGATCCTCAGGCAGGTACAGCCCTCCAGGCCCTGTACACTCAGTGAGTCAGGGGCAGTCACTAGGTCACTATCTCACCGAAACTTGTGGTAATAGACCACCTGGGGTAAGTAGTTGTTCTATGAGAGAAAGAATACAGGACAATGAGGAGGGAAGAAATGTGCTGAAAGGGACAAACAACTGAAGCTTGGTTCTTGTGGAGATAATCCCATTTCCCCACCTTAGAAACTGCATATCTAAATAGAAATGCAATGACTAGATTCCATTTGATCACATCTGGTTTGTAGACATTGCATCGGTAATTTAGGAGATATGAGGTATCTTTCTAAGGTTTGCTGCAAAATACAATTCTGCTTATGCTTTCATTCAGCGGCTTCTTGTTACCCATGTTGTAACACACTGTCTATAGGAAGAAGCCACCTGGAGGAAGTTTAAAGCCTTTAACAGTCCATCCCCCTCCCTCTTTAGGTATTTCTCTAATCACCTCTCTGCCACCCCTGGCCCTCACCTCCTGCACACTCAAACACACTCTCCACTCCAAATTATCTGCAGTTTCCCAAACCCACCAGCCCCCCTTACTTACTACACCTCTTTCTTTCTGAGGTTATCTTCCCTAGTCTCTCCTTATCTGCCTGCAAATATCAACAAGTTTATCTTTCAAAATGCACCTCAAGCTTCACCTCCTGTGTAAAGCCTGAACTGCCCTCCCCCACCCCGATAAAACTGACCATTCTACTTTTACACCCCCATATAGCTCACTTGATTATACCTATTTGTTTACAAGTCTATCTTCCCTGGCTAGATTGTGAGCATCCCTGGAGTGGAATCTGTATCTTATCTTGCAGTCTCCTGAAGCAAACGCAGTGTCCCAGTACTTAAATATGTTTGTTGAATGAATAATGATCAGTGTTCTCTGCTCTGTTCTATCTATCCCCTTGGATAGAACAACCCACAGTTGCAGTTTTTTAAGCAGTGAGGAATTTGGGCAAACAGGGTGGAAGGATTCTGGAAAATCAAAGTCCAACTCTAGTTTTCAGACAAGATTGTTCACAGTGGAACAAATTCTCCCTCTGAGAAAGTTTAGTGAAAAATTCTCTCTACTGATTATGATGAACTACATTTAAATCAAGTCCTAGCTGTGCCAAATAATGTTTGGAAGGAATTCATTCTCTTTTTTTGACTATTTCCATCCCCGGATAAGTATAATCCAGGGAATTTTTGAAACAATACTGATGCCTGGGTCATGCCTTGGATATTCTAGTAAAATGGGCCTAGGGTAGGGCCTGGCTTTGGGATTTTTAAGCTCACCAGGTGATTCTAACGTGCAACCAGGATTCAGGCCCACTGCTTTAAGAGAATTTATCCAGGACTGGGTTTTACATAGCCTCTGAATGTTGATAAGCTACCAACTTTGCAGGTCCAATTTAAACTGAGCAGGCATCTCCAGTCTAACATGTTCAAAAGCAACCACGCCCCAAATACCAAAATTAAGTAGCAACTCCATCCTCCCAGCGGCTCACAACAAAATCCTTGCAGCTGAGGATATGAGTAAACTGAATGGTGGGGGAAGAAGCCAGGTAAAGTGGTTTTAAGAAGAAGGTAGTGAGAGGGAAATAAAGATTTTGACTGTAAAAGGAGAAGAAACTCAGGGAGCTAGTTATAAGTGGAATTAAAATTAAGGAACCTATTTATAATTTGTTTTATAAATTTGAAGAAAGATTGGCCTCATTTAAAAGGTGATGGGAAAACCCAGTAAAGAAGTACATTGAGCGAATTGCCTACTTTCTCTGAGTCGCTTGGTTAGCCTATGTTTATTAAGAGTGCACAGGTGATACGGCTGATGAAACAACATAGAAGAATTGGAGAGATAGTTAGAAGGTGCACTTGCAGAATTTGTAGTTGGATGTGGGGTGAAGTAAAGGGACGAGTCAAGAATGACATCCAGGGATTTGCTGGCTCAAGGGTGGCTGGTGGTGCCCTTCACTGAGCTAGAGAACAGAGAAGAAGGAGATTTCAGAGAGAAAAGGAAAAATACTTTTTTTTTTTGAAACTGGATGCTTTATTTAACATTATAATTTGGGTTGGGCATATCCCTCACCTTTAAGGAGCAAAACAAAACATAAGCCTCAGATTAGGTCCAGGCACGAGTTATTCTTCCAATGATTCTGAAGTCAAACTGTAAAATTCAATTATTACTGCCTCTGATTTCCCATGAGGATTAAATAAAACCACACAAATGAGAGTGTCTAGCACAGTGCCTGAAGTAAACAGATGCTCAATAACATGAACTGCTCTTTCCTTGGCTTGAAGCCATGTGATTAATGAGGAAATAATAGGCTAAGGAATTAGATAGGTTTAAATTCTCACTATACCATTTGCTAGCTGTGTGACTTAAGGCAAATTATTTAACTCCATCTGTAAAATGGAACTAACAATACCCACCTTATAGGGTTAATGTGAAAAGTCATTAAAGAATAATGCATACAAAGTCATTCAACCCAAAAAAGACTTAATATCCAACCCTCCTCCTTCAAGATAGCCTATTCATAACTCTACCAAAAGTATAGATTCATAGGTCGATGAATTTAAACATATCCATCAGAATCCCTAACTTGTGGTAAGAATTACACCAGTGCAGTACCTTGACACAGTACCTGGCATGGAGTGGACCCTACATAAATGTTTATTGAACTCAGGTGAATTACTATGTCCAATGTCACTTGGCTAACTGTGGCAGCATGGGCTAGCCTGGGATGGGACTAGGTCTTTCCGCTACTCAAACAAGGGCTCTTTCCATTATCCTGTGTACTCCCCCAAGGTTAAGTCATCTACTTGCTGATAAAATTATATGCTTATTTAGAGCAGTACAAATTAATTTAAGGGTCATAATAAGGTGTTACCATAATTTGAGTTTTTCAGGTTTCTATGGCTAAGGAATCATTACTCTGTTAAAATACTTTTACATAAAATAAATTTTACAAGGAACACAAGCTTTTTAACACAGCTTAAATTAAGTTTCCTTCCTTTTGTTTTGCCTAACTACCACAGGAAAGTCATCTATGTTTATGATTTCCTAAATGTAAACTGTGTAGAAATGCTTTTAGAATAATAATAACTTCAGAATGGTATAACCAATTCAATGGTAAGCAGCAGACTCTAGTGGAATAAAGAGTTGGGGGAAGTGGGAAAGCCGGTCCATTCTTGTGAAACTCAAGGTTGAATACACATGAAGTAAAATACTATGCACTGAACATACAAATGCAAGTACAACTGTATGTGGTGAGGTGAACTGTACATGAAGCAACTATTAAGACGAGTCCACTCACGACCTCTGGACGACAAGTAGAAAACAGGTTTTCAAATGTCTGAAAACCGCAACTTCAGTGCTTTTGCAATCCCTGCTTTTAGGATTTGTCACGTGAAGCAAACAGGCGTAACCCAACAGCACTATTAGGGCCACACAACCATTCCACACACAGGCTGGTCTCATAAACATCATCAAGGAAAAGCAGGCAAACCAGCAGAGAAGGCCTTCACCTACTTTCCTCCAGATTGCAAACGCTGTACGGAGACAGCGGCGCACAAGTAACAATCCCGAATAAATAAAGGAATACCTAGGCATTCTGACATCCCCAAATGTCCTCCATAACATTTACGGAGTATCATCCCATGAAATACGGTTAGTGTGCACAGAACCCCGCGTCCCTTCCTACAAGGGGCAGCAGTGGTCACCTTCCATGGATGGACCCCTTTAAGCCAGCTTCACGGACCCCCCCACAAACCAGTGACTCGATTGACCGCCACAATGTAGACTCCGTTACCTCTGTTAACGTTTCTAGAACACGTGATTTGGGGGTGCACACTTGCTAGAAACAGATCAAACAACACTTTCACACATTTCTGAGTCCTGCCATCCTTGGATCCAAACTATTCCAAGGGAGGGGCCGAATATCACCAATCCTGGATGACACCCGTTCAAATCGCCCTCAAGAGGGGAGTGAGTCCCCCCTTAGCTGGTCGCCAGCAGCTCTTACCTTTCTGTCACGGGGGACCTGAGCGAGGGACCGACCCAGGGATCTGGTACAGGTCCAAGCTGAGGTGCTCCAGGCTCAGCCTCTCCTGCAGGAAGTGGCCCGGGTACCACTGTAGCAGGGACCGACAGGGTCTTCTTGATGGACCCTTGAAAACGTCCAAGGCATGATGGGGGCTGGCAACTGGGTCGGCGGGGCCTTCGGCCGGGGGTCCCAGCTCTGGCTCCAGGCCATGGCGGGGCCCAAGCCCGGGGAGGCCCCTCCATGCCCGCTCGGCGCGGCGCCAGCGCCGGCTGTCTCCCAGGGCAACCCCGCCGCCTACATCGCGCCGATCGCACTAGGGCTGGCGGGAACCAGCCGCGGAGGAGTCCCCCTTGCCCCAAGCCCAGGGGCTTCTGAGGGGTTCGTAGTCCGCACAGAGAGCGTGTGAGAGAGCCTGAGGGGAAGCCGCAGGGCCCCAGGCCCTGCCTGAAGTGGAGAAACTGTGTTTTCCATACGGTATATTCTAGGTAGTATTTCTTTTCCTTTTTTTCCACTAGCAAAGGCAAGTTTATTCAGAAACCGCCAAAGAAATTGCCAACCTACGTTTCTGAACTATGGCTGATCCTAGTCAAATCCAGAACTTGCTTTTATAGGGAAAAGGAGGTAGCTGGGCAGGGCTGTAATAACAAAAGAATTCATTGGTGGAAGCTGGGAGTCTAAAGTATGGAGGCTTCTCATTGGTTGGACTACAACTAGGCAGTGTTTCTTATTCAACATCACAAATCTATATTCGGAAGCTCTGAATCCCTGCTACACTGAATCTCTGCTAGGGATATGAGTAATGAATAAATCCAAGTTCCTGTTTTCGAGAAGCTTGCAAACTTTTCATGAGGACAGGAAAAGAGCCACAATAAAAGAAGAAGGTAAGTGCCAGAAGAATTATGCAAAAATCTAAAAGCATTCAAAGAAGAGGGAGATTGTTTTTTACGTGTGAGAGGTTGCTGGAGATAAGATTCAGCAAAGACTTCAAGGAGGGGGTGATGTTTGAGATTCATCCTGAAGAACTAACATTTCTATAGGCAGTAGGATTGGGGAGAACATTCCAGGTGGAAAAACTCCGCGACCACAGCACAGAACTGTGATAGGGCTAGGAACGACTGCAAACTATCACCGCAGGCTATTGTTAATTTAGGCTACGTATGGCCTAGTGGTCAGAAACAAATCTAGACCGGCAGGCTGGACTTTGGAGTAAAGCAGGCCTGAGCTGGGACACTGGTGCCACCACTGGATAAATACCCAACCTAGGGAAAGTTATTTAACCTCCCTCAGCCTCGGTTTTCTCCCTTCTAAAATTAACCAAATCATATATTTACCAGGATCGGTTTGAGATGTCTGTTCTATAATAGGTGTTTAATAAATGATAGGTATTATTACTTTGCAGAGGTCTTGAATACCAGGGTGAAGAGTTTATGTTTTCTTAGCCAGCTTATGGAAGCGTTTGGACAAAGTAACTACAGCTGGAATAATCTGCCCCCAATTTATACGCTTGAGGGAAGCAGGGAAGAGAAAAGACTGGAAGACAAGTTAGGAGACTACTTGGTAGTCAGCTAGTAGATCAATAAGTAATCCTCAGGGTGATGCTACTTCATAGTCAATCCATAATATCAAAGTTTTATTTTTGAGTTTTCAAAATATACAGATATTTTGTTTTCTTCCCTTCCCCTCCTGCTGTTTTGCCATTGGATTGTTCTGCCAGCAGGCAAAAAGACAAATCAGTGAAACTTCAATCAGCCAGTGTCGCCATAAACAAAAGAGGAACTTAAATATCTGTGGTTACTGTGTGAATATAAGCATCTTTGAAAGATTTGGTTGGAGCAGGCTGAAATTAACCACTTGAATTTAACATTTTATGTAGAATATATATGCCAATAATTCTTAACCTCCCTTTGTTCCACCGATACAGCTGAGTCACTATAGCGTGGGAAGAACCTCTATACTATAAATAATCTTCTGTCAGTTAATTTAAAACGGCAGTAGGGCAGGACTTATTCAAAGTCAGTGGTCATGTACCACTGACCAACCACATAGAACCTTGGACAAGTCATTTAATAATCCTGAACTGCAGATCACATATCTGTAATTTGGGGGAGGTAATTTATTTTTTGCCTCATTCTTAAGGTTGTTGTGAGGATTGAGTGAGGTAATTGATATAAAAATGCTTATGTTTTATAAGCCACAAATGCAAAAGATTATCTGGACAAAACGTCCATCCACATAAATAAGGCACAATCATTATGAACTGTATAAGAAGTTTTCCCACTTTTTTTCTTCCTTGCTCTCTGAAGATCTGCTTGATTTGTCTTTTTTTTTTTTTTTTTCCAGTTGGCGAGCACTTTACTTTCATATGTTGACCACAGTTAACCTCTCATCTTGGGTGAGATTTCCAAAGTATGATTTCCAACTAAGTAGCCATTTTGTCATTTTGAAATTGTGTTGTTTGACCTTCCCTGTGTTTTGGGATAAGTATAGGAGGGTTTGGCTTCAGACTTAAATTATTTCACTAAGGGCACTTTTGGAGGAGGAAAAGTTATTTTTCACTCACTTAATAAAACTTCTTGTACAGCAAACTCTGTCTCATTAAGGGCTGTGCCGGAGACTTAAGAGATTATTTAAGAGACTGAGTCAGCATCTTTATCTTGTGATGTATTGAAAGATGTGTTAGTTCCCCAAGGGAAGAAGAAGGGAAATTGAAAATAAAATCCTTTTTCCCCCTTTTTGGTTAATTTTCAACAAAATGAAGCAGTTACTTCTGAAATATAGACACACAGATGAGAAAATGTGTGTAATTACTTAATAAGAAAGGGACTTGCATAATTAAACTGAAATTCAATGCATTTGAAGGAAAGGGAAAGCATCCCAGCTAAGTTTCTGGCAGATAATGATGAAGAAAAGAAACTGAAAACATTTGAGGCTCTGAAGTCACACTTCTGTTGATACATATGGTGTTAATGGATTTTGAGCTCCTGGGCCTCCTGGTAAGCAGATGGTTTTATACTTGTGCTTAAACTAGAGGTTAGATGGCTTGGTGGAAAAAAGCAGTGACCTTTCATCTCAAGTTTAGTTCTGGACCTAATGATTTGTGTATTCAAACTTTTCAAACACATATTGTCACGCTTAACACCCTGTAAGATGCTCGAACATTGACTGGGCCTGGTAAATAAATCATAGTTGATCTTCAGAGAGATTCTTTTTTTTTCCCCTGGCTGAAGCCAAGTTTTATAACAGTTACCTATCTTCTTCTGGGCAAAAAGTTAAATCAGGGAGTCAGTATCTCTCATTGGATTGTCTGTTCAAGTATACAAAGTAAAACAACTAAAAATATACACTAGTTTCTGTTAGGTTAACTAGAAAGGAATATTCCTGAAAATAATTATGCTGCTGTGGAACTACAGTAATAAGCTCCCTGCCCCCCAGACCCACATTTAATTAGAAAAATACTGGTCCCATTCCAAAGCCTAACTAATTTAATTTAAAACCGTATGTTTTATACAGTAATTGCCTATTTTTTAAGTTAACTAACCATTGTACCATCAGCTTAGACATTTTATGAGTGGAGACAGCACTTCTAATTGATAAGCATGGCATGCTTATAAATGAAGTTAACAGTGACGCTTTGGGAAACAAATGTTGCCATTTGACTGCTTCCCAAAAGTAGCTTGTTTAGCAGAGATCCAAGAAAGTTGCAGATCTCTGCATTCAGGATTCATGACTGGAAACTGAAATGTACTTTAAAGTCAAGAAGGTGGATTGCTGCTTTTCCTTTTGGTCAGACAGAGGTGCTAGGAGCAAAATGAGGTGGGGTGTGGGACATGGGCTAGAGCCTGGAGAATCACATCAATAAACACCTTCTCACCTGGGCTCCCTGGGTCCCAGGATGCCAAGACTCTTTCAACACCAAACACAGTAGTTGCCAGATAATTCCACAAGAAGAAGGAACTTTCACCTTCTTTATAGTTTGGTGATTACAAAGCACTTTGAAGAAAATATATGTGAGTATATAACACACTAATTGAGTGAGTGATGTTATTTGGATCAAGAAATGATTGGATGGAAAACTGTCTATGATATATTAAGAGGGAAAAGCAGGTTACAAAACAGCGTGTACAGTACAATTCATTTTTTGTGAAAAATAATTCTATAAATGTGCAACAGAAAGACTGCAGTGAAACATAGCAAACAAACAAGCAATGGGGTAGAGGGAATACAGATGATTTTCGTTTTCTTCTACTTATCTATATTTTCATACATTAATGTTATTTTCAGAATAAGAAAAAAGTTCTTTAAAAAGACTTTAGGGGGCTTCCCTGGTAGCGCAGTGGTTGAGAGTCTGCCTGCAGATGCAGGGGACGTGGGTTCGTGCCCCGGTCCGGGAGGATCCCGCGTGTCGCGGGGCGGCTGGGCCCGTGAGCCATGGCCGCTGGGCCTGCACGTCCGGAGCCTGTGCTCCGCAACGGGAGAGGCTGCAGCGGTGAGAGGCCCGTGTACCGCAAAAAAAAAAAAAAAAAGACTTTAGGGAAGGAAACATTCAAGTTATGAAAACATGGGGCAGTAATTATTACTTAAGACTAGTAAATCTCTATATTTAAGGGAATAGAAAGAGATTAAAATACAGACATAAAGAACACAGTATTTATATTTCCTTTCACACTCTGGAACAATACATTTTTGAGCAGTGAGATATTTAGCTAGGTCAGGCTGTACACATTCGAGGAATCCTATATCATGATGTCTGTTAGCATTTAAGAAGCGTTAGCAACTCCAGAGTAATACACAAAACAAAAAGTCCGGTGCATACAAATACCATATTATATAAAGGTAACTTAACTTTAAAAAGAAAAGCTGGTCCTTGTCTCTCTGAAATAATTCAAGATTTGAATTGAGAAATATTGCTATTAATAGCGCTAAAACACCGAGACCAGAAGCCATCAGAACTTTAAGGATTAAAGAAAATTGTAACATGAACTGATGGAGAAGATATTGGAAAACAGGCTCTCTCCCATGCTACTGGTGGAAATATATTTTCACTACTCTAAAGGACAAGCTGGTAATAGTCATCAAAAGTCTTAACATCATGGATATCTTTACAACCAGCATTTCCATTTCTAGGAACTTATCCTACAGACTGTATAAGAATGTGAACAAATCAATAAGGATGCTCATAGCAACATTGTTTATGACAGTGAGAAATTCACAATGTCTTAAATGTCCCATAGAAGAGCTTTCATGCTGAAGTCAATCATAGTAATCCATTAAATAGTATACTGTGCAGCCAGTAAGAAGGGTTTGTGTGTGAATGTATCTAATAAACACAAAGGTGAACAAAGGAAGCCTGACACAAAAGAGTATATACTATATGTCATTTATATCTAGTTAAAATGAGGCAAAAATCACTAATGGTTAACTTTGGGGATGCCTCATGACTGGAGATGGGCACAGAGCACGGAGTGCTTCTGGAGTTCTGTCAGTGTTCTTTTCTTGGTCTCAGACTGATACATGGGTGTGTTCACTTTGTGAATGTTCATCAAACTGTACACTGATGTTTGTTTACTTTTCTGCATGTCTGCTGTACTTCAATAACATTTATCAGAAGAAAGGTCATAAGAAGTATTTATAACATAGAAAGAATTTCAGCATATATTTTTAATATAAAAGTATTAAAAATCCTTTTCCATCTTAAAGGATCTTATAGAAAAATAAATGGATGGATGTTCACAAAGTGGCATTGGTAGACATCTCTGGGTAATAGGATGATAGGTTATTTTTATTTGTAATATTTTTATTTTAAATATTTTCTAAAATTGTCACAGTTTTATAAGAAGAAAAAGTCAAAATAATATCATTATAAAAATGAGAATGGTATATG